TTGTAGACCAGGCTGGCCTTGAACTCACAGACATCTACCCTTCTCTGCCTTCCAAGGACTGGGATCAAAGGCGTGGACTACCACTACCTGGCAAAAATTACATCTATTTGTCTATATGTGAGAATAAGTGTCTGTGGTCACACGTATGGATGCCAAAAGACACATTTGGGAGTCAGTTCTTTCTTTCCACGATTGTGGGTCCGGGGACTGAACTCTGGTCATCAGGCTTGGCTGTGGGCTCCCTCACTTGCTGAGCCACCTTACTGGCCTCAAACACATAATTTTTTAAATATATTCTTGGTTGTTGTCCACAATTATTCACCATAAGTTTAGATGTTTGAAGCAGTTTTTTTTCCTGTGTTACAGATTTCATGCTAAAGCAAGGGTAATACCAACCTGTCGCCATCTCTCTGATGATGAAATGATTCCTAAACATACATCCATCAAAAAAAGCCTGGATACATCTCTCAGTTGATATCAATACAGTTTGCCAGTGTAATCTAAACTAAAATTGGCACAATTTGAAGCATACGTTTTTTTTTTTTCTCTGAGCACGTATGTGCCTGCATAATCCCCCCTTCTAGCTGGGCCTCCTATGAAGCGAAGGCCTGGAAGTGGGTCTCATAAACAAATCTATTTTATTTTTCATCATTCCTCTGGCCAAACAGCAAATTACAAAGTGGTATTCAATCAGTCAATTTATCTAATTCTGAGTCGGATAAATTGCATTTAGGTAATTACATGTTTAAACAAACTCATATCCAAGTAGATACCATTAAGTCTTAAGTATTAGGAAGACAGGCGATTACAAGGTTTGGCTGGAAAAGAGAAAAAGCCAAAGACAGCCCTTGCTCTGTATCGTGTAACAAATGAATTCAACTGCATCTAAAGGGCTTTTGTGAGAGAGAAAAATGGAGTTGTGAGTTCTGGTTTACTTAAGACACATTGTTCATTATCTTATTTCTCATCTACCATTCTCTTAATCTTGCAAACAATAACTTGATATGTGCAGGGAATGGAGGAAGGTTCTACTGTGGTACAGTGGAGCGATTGTTACGCACAGGGGGAGGCAGCAGGGTACAGCTATTCACAGAGGGATAGACAGTAAATCACTGTTAGCAAATCCCACTTGCATCACACCCAGAGGATTCCAACCACAGCCTCACCTCCTGCTGTGGGTCTCTTAGAGTTAAGTTTCTCCTTGCTCCCTGTTCCCAAGCATCTCGTCGTATATACTCACCACTTACGTCTCAAGGCTCTTTTTCTTCACTGAAAGATGCCAGACACTGTAAGGCAGCAGTTAGATGTCAGGGTGGCCTTTATTCACCTTTAGATCTGAAATCACAAATAAGAAGGGTGTGATTGCTTTCTAGTGTTTCTCTTTTTCATTTTTAAGCACTGCTCTTTTACCCAATGATCGGTTCCTTATAGTATGGAATCCTTGAAAAGGAGCTCGACTGATTTTATTAGTTTATCCCTTTCTTTATGAATGGAGTCCTTGCTGTCTGCTAGGTGCTGGAGAGAAAAGCAAAAATCAGAGACTGTCCTAGGGCTTGGGGCTTCTAATCAAGTGAGAAAGAGAAGCTCTCGGCACACCCCTGCACAGGATCTTGACTCTGGCTATGATGCAGGGTATGTTCTATGAGGAAACTTACTGAGCCCTTTGAGAATGAATGAAGACTGAGGGGTGTGTGTGTGTGTGTGTGTGTGTGTGTGTGTGTACATGCGTCTGACACACACATGGGCAGTGTCAGGGAAGACTCTCTTGAAGCAGAAGATTTGATGCAGACACCTGAAGGATGAGTAGAGGTTTTAGTCACATGACAAAGGGAAAATTACAAGGCGAAGGATGCAGTGAGACCTTACATAGAAAGGAGGAGTCCAGCTTTTTAAAACACACGCGTGCACACACACACAATTTTCCATATGGGTGCTGGGAACCAAACCTGGTCCTCTGGAAGACTATTAAACACTGAACCATCTCTTCTGTCAGAAAATTAAGCTATTTTAAAGCAGAGATTCTCATCAAATGCCTGGATGAGCTCTTTAAAGGGAGAGCTTACTGGGGTTTTTGTTTGTTTGTTTGTTTGTTTTTAGTCTTATTTTACCCCTCCCCCCCATACACACCTTGTCAGGTGATTTGAGGAAGTGGATCCTGTCACGTAGGTATCTGCTATTGAGAGTCATTAAGGGTAGCTTCCAGGCCTAACCTAATTCTCCACACAAGGGAAGCCACCTCTTTTTCTGGGCCTCCATCTGACCCTTGTAAAATGTGACCTTAGGACTGATGTGGAGGATGATTGAGTCGCTTGCTAATGCTTACCAGGAAGTGGGTGTCCTGGATTCCCCTTGCACTCTGGTTAATCCATAACATTCCTGGGTAGTGAATCAGTTACGAACCCCAGGGGCAGGTAGGCCAACAGTGGCTCTAGAAAGATAAGGGATTCGTCCAAGATGACCAGCTGATCTGTTGCCTAACCCGAGGAAGCCTCCTGAAATAGTCTACAACCATGCCGCTAAAGTACAAAACCTGCCAAGTTTTCAAATTCTAACATTCGGTGATTCTTTACTCTCATTGGCAGTTTGTTGTGAGTAGAAGGGTACATTGCAGACTCCAAAAACTTTGGAGGGGCAGCGACTTTGCTGAAAAGTTAAATAAGGTTTTGGGGAGAGTCTGAAGTTGCGAAGGGATAATGGCATCACGAGGTTTCTTGTGGCTGACTTTTCTTCCTGGTTCTTTCAGCATCTTTTTTCCTCTGGCAAGTATAAAAGTAGTACCACATGTTCAGGACACCAGCCGCCTAATTGGATACTGAGATTTTAGGATCGAATAATTGCCAGGAAGATTCTGGGTGGTATTTCTTTACCTTCAAAAGTAAATTCAAATTCTTTCCCTCTTGTATCGCACAATTTTAAATTAGGTAAATTTAATCTCCCTCCTCCTGGCTCGGGGATACTACAAGTTAAACATACAAGTATTAATACTGAAAATAATTACCCTTTAAACAATATCTTAAAAACGCGATGTGGGGCACTTGCAATATATCCATAAAGCAAACAAGACAGCTTAATTGTTTGTTTCTCCAAAGCAAGGAGCTAAACCGGAATTAATTTGGTTCAGTCTGTGAAACAATTCGTTTGCTCTGCCTAATTCTGCCAATTAAAGAACTTTTCCCAGACATAATTAGCATGTAAATCAGCGGTGGGGAGCGAAGAGGAAGCCATGGCCACCAGCGCCGGGTGGAGATACCGGACGAAGGACTGACTGTCACTGAACCAGCCCAACGCCAGCCTATATCTGGGTGCTAGAGAAGTCTCCGCGTGGAAGCCTGTCCCACCAAGTCCCAGGGCTAGGAGGATGACACTGGGAGGCAGTCCCCACCCAAGCCTTTAGAACCGGAGCAAGTCGACCCCCACCTCTCCCTCTTGTGCCCAGTCTTCTTCCAGAGTCGCGCCCAGAACCGTGGGTGCTGCGCGCGCACCTAGGGCCGCGCCCCCAACCACCCGGGATCTGTATCTACTTTTGCTGGCCTAGGAAGGGTGGGGATAGCGGCCCCTGCTGGTAGTTTTGGAGAACAGCAGAACTGCTTTTCTCCTTTAATCATTCTTCCCACCCTTTCCCCAGGTGGTTTTGTTAGGGGAAAAAAAAAGCCCGAGGGCGGAGGAGATGTGGAGGACATAGTCACGTATTCGTCGTTTTTTTTTCTTTCCAGAGCACTTACGAGCAGATTTTTGCACATGCTGGAATGGAATACAGGGAACGTGGACTTAGTAGCACTAGCCCCAAATTGGGGAACAGGTACAATTTCTAACATGAAGCTTCTCAGCCAACCTGGGTCTGAGACTACGATCCTCCTTCCCACTTGCTTTCCTCCGCTGACTTAACGTGCAGTAGAGATTGCTCCGGGAATTGCTTGGCCACCCAGCGTTACTTTCTCTGAAGGCTGCGGCCTCAGTGGGCACCATCTGCGAAACCTACTCTGGGAGCAGCAGCCCCGGCGCGCAGTTGCTTGAGGGGAGCAGCCGGCGCGGCAGCGAGGGCGCGCCGGCTGGGGGAGGGGACTGTGGTGTGGCCTGACCAGTTGGCACAAGCCTGTAAACTGCAAGAGTTCTTTGCTATTGTAAGTCCAGGCAGCGGAGAGAGGCCGTGCCTGCCATTCTTCATGCGCTCATAACAATAGAGCCTTGGAAATAGTTGCGATTTCCCTTTTCCAAGAAGCTGCTGGATTCCCTTTGGTACTGTTTGAGTCTTTTGCCTAAAGTTTATTCATTCCTAAGAACGATCCTCACCGCGGACTTAGACGTTTTCAAACAGATCACGGTCGTTGACCACGTTCTCAGCACCGTAGTTTATATGTTTATTTAACGTGTGCTATGAACGGGTGTGTGTGAGAAACTATTTTTAACCACAATTCATCTGGTCAGGAAAAGGGTCCATCACTTCCAGAATCTACCTCCTGATACAGTAATCAGAAATAGAAAGGTTTGCCGTCCCTTTAAAACTTTTCCATTTAAGAAAATCGATGGACAAACTCTTGTAACTTGTTCCTCTCTTTCTATTTTTATTTCTTTTTCTGATTCGGCAGAGCTCATCAATGTTGTCTGGGATTTCTTTTCTTTTTCTTCCTTTTTCTTTTCTTTTGCTAGAGCCCATGTGGGGGTGGGTAGACGAGGGCTGGGCTTTTCCTGGAGTCGCCCCCGCTGGGACCTCCCGAGTGCGCGCCCCGGGGCGGGGAATTGAGGTGGTAAGAAGCGGGGCTGTCGACTCAGTCCAAAGCTCTACCTGCAGCCACACGGCGTCAAGTCTTTCCTTCCTTTGGTTTACTCGCGTTGTTTCTCTCCCTCTCTCTCCCTCGCGCACACACCACAGCTCTCCTTCGGGTCGGAGACAGCAGCCCTGGGAGGCGGGGTTGCTGGAGGAGAGTCCGCTCTGCGCAATCCAGTCCGGGACTTGGCTCCGCCCGGAGCGTCGGCCTCTCCGGTGACACTGGAGTAGTGAGCCGCACGGGGTGAGGCTGCAGCCAACTCCGCTCCCCACGCACTCGGCTGCCTAGGCGCTCGGGACGCAGCACAGGCGCTTCTCCGCGGTGCCGACTGCCCGAGATGCCCGCCTAGGAGCGTGCGGCCGCGGCCAGCGTCGCCACACCCGGGACACTGAGCTCGGGGTTGCAGAGCCGGCCAGAGTCCTGCACCTCTGCCTCAACCCCCCACCCCGCCCCCCGCCCTGAAATGACTAGTTAATGGGCGCTGGCACCGCTGAGGGGACTCAGAAGTGAATCCAAGTGGAATTTGGATTTGGAAAAGAGTTTCTTGAACATTTACCCGGGTCCTCGCTGGTTTTTCTTTCTCCGTTTTTTTCTTTTTCTTTTCTTTTTTCCTTTTTCAATTTTTTTTTGCCTTCTCCTCCGGTCCTCTTCTGTCATTGGAGATGAACACAGCTCGCTTGCATCCCAGAAAGTAATCGCCGTGACTGTTGCCCCCAAAGAGACAAGCACACATGTAGGAATGACAAAGGCTTGCGAAGGAAAGAGCGCAGCTCAAGGCCCAGAGAGATCTTCTCGATAATGGATTACTAAATGGGATACACGCCGTGCCAGTCCGCTCCGAGCCGCGGCCGCCTGCCCGTCGATGCACCGAAAAGGTATGGCTTTAACGTCCCTGAGCGCCCCACCTCCTGGATCCAGGCTTGGGTGAGGGTCCAGGGGTTACCCCAGGTGCGCGTTGTGGGCTTTGTAGTGCCTGTGTTGTGTTTGGTCTTATGTCTCTGTCTCCGGAGCGTTGTCCCTTCCTGGGGGAGTAGCCCCGAGCCCTGCCTGCAGCTCTTTTCAGTCCTGAGCCCCAGAGACTCAGGGCTCCATGTCAGAAGCTTCCCCACCCGAGTCGCGCACACGACCGGCGCCGCCCCGGACCTAGACCGAGAGGATGGCTGTCCTGCCCAGCGGTGTGTGTGTGTGTGTGTGTGTGTGTGTGTGTGTGTGTGTGTGCTGGACCCGAGGCTAAGAGCTCACTCTTGAGCCAGCAGGGAGGAAAGCGGCCCTGGAGGGTGGGATTCTCGAAAGCGCCGGGTCCTGGTGTCGAGTGCTGGGGAAGGGGGAAGGGTTCTGTCCTCGAGGGCCAGAGAGGATTGGGGAGTACAAAGCTATTTGTGTCCAGCCACAGGTTTAGGCTCTGTTGTGGGAGAAATGGTTGTGCGGGGAGGTGGAGAAGATATGAGGATCTTTTGTTATCAGTGCGGGCTCTGGGCTGGGCTCCGTGGAGTGCGTGAAACTTGTAATGGCCCTGAGCATCTGCGCGCCCTCTCTCTTGGTGGGATCCACTCTTCAGTCGCTGCTGGCACCAAAGGTTCCTGGCTTTGTTTGCTGGAGTAAGTGCCTAGGAGCGGTGTCTTGGTATAGCACGGCGCCCCCGCCCTAGGTCTTGTCCCCTGCCTCAGTTCCCACCCGAGCGAACAGGGCACCATTTGTCGCAGCTGCGTCTCTCTCAAGCACTGAGCTCTACACGCTAGGGCTGGCCCCTGCTGCGTCTTCCTCCAAGACCTGTGCTGTCCCTCTCGAGAAAAGATGTACCCCGGGAGAGGGAAGGGTGGGGAGACCTGGCAAGAAATAGCTCTGGGCTTGCCACTCTGATGAAAGCTCTGCCGGGCTGCAGATTGTTGGATGTCCTGACTGCTTGTTGTGTCTTGGAGCTCAGCCTCTGGAGCCGTGGGGCGCCCAAAGCAAGCTGGGCAGTTCCCTGTTCGTGATCCTACTAGGTGGGCAGTGTCAGTTTGCCCGATCTCCGCGTTTTTTTTCAGCTCCCCAAGAAGGGAAACGGTATAAAGCAGGATCCTGAGGTCTCTCACGGGCGGTACAGAGCCAGGCTGCTGTCCCGATCCTGCGTGTGTCAGGGACAGAAACCGGACCCCGACATTTTTCCCGCTCGCTCGCCGCCCCCTTCCTAGCGCCTCTTCCCCTTTACTGTGCAGGGCCCCCCTACCCTGCGCTTCTGGAAAGTTTCTGTGATAGCTAAAGACTGCTGGAAACACCAGACGAGGGCTCAGCGTGTTCAATCTGACCCCGAGAGAATTGCGCGGACAACTGGGATGTGACTAGGGGCTAGATTGCCTGTCCACTGGAGAATGGCACCTCCTCTGGCCGGCAGCACTTCCTGGACCAGGGTCTCCAGCAGCTGGAGAAGGTCTGGGGGGCCGGGATTGGGACGTTTTGAATTCAGGATGCTAATGTGATCACAAGTGGCGGACAGAAGCTGCTGTGAGGTCGCTTGTGGACACTGATCCTGGCTCGCGGGCTCAGGAGTCTCTAGCTCTAAGCGCAGCATCCCGAACCTCCTGCGCCAGTCGCAAGGCATTGCAGTTCGCACATGTCCTGGGAGGCGAGGAGCAGGGCCAGGTGTTGGTGGACAGGAGAGAGGAACGATTGGAGGCGCTGTCCTCCTAGCCTGAGCAAGCGTTTCCAGCGGCTGCCTCTAGCCTGTGGGGAAGTAGGCAGTCCTGCCGGCAGTTCCGCCTCAGTCTGTTCCGAGCGATTGTGGCTGCCTTGACAGTGTGGTGACCAAGCCCAGCCTCAGAGGGATCTCGTCCTATTTACTCTAGAGGAAAATCGAGTTACTACTGAATCCTTGAAAGATTTAAAATACAGGCGAACCTACACACACACACACACACACACACACACACACACACACACTGCATTCATAACTCTGCCATTTAATTCAGTTTGGGCTTCTATTAGTGGATTGCAGAAAAAGCTATCGTTTAACGCCCATCTGCTCTGATTTTCAAGCTTTTCTCCGGTAGGGAGGTCGAGTATCTTTGCCTTGTTTTTCCTTAATCCTGGTGATTTAGGCTTTCCTTCCCCTGGCGGACTTATATTTTGGCGTAAAATTCACCATCTGCTACTATGATGGCAGGGGGTTAGTGGTTTTGGATACATTAATCCTTTATTTAGCTCAGTACCCCCAAGGTAAAGACGCCTGGGCTCAGTTTTTGAATGAAAACACCACACATTTTTTTCCCTCCTTACCCACAACAGCTACCAGAAGTCAAGATAGCAAGCATTTTGTAAGGTTTATAAATTCCACGTTTAGTCTTCGACAATAAACTTTTATTAAACTACTCCAGGCACCAAAGTTAATTAGTAACCTCACCTTAAATACAGTGGCAGATCCGTGTCTCCCCCTATTAACCTAAATTGTCTGGTAAAACATAATTGCACCAGCCGTTTGAGTTTGGTTTACCCATTTCTGTTTAGAGAGTAGCGTCTGGTTGGGTCTTAGGTAACCCATACTCTCTTGTTTTTATTTGGGTTTTATACATTGGTGAATGAAGGACTTGGCAAACCAATATAAGCGGAAAAGAATGAGTAACAGATTTGAAACCTTGATTTTGTTAGGAGTCTTTCAATTCATCTTGATGTAAAGAAGTATTATGTTTTTATTTCTTATTTGCTGTGATTGGGAGTGATGGGCTCCCTCGTGTGTTATATTGTACAACTATAACCACTTAGAAATGGCCACATTCTCAAAAATACATGCAATCTGCATCTATGAATGTTTCACAGACACCCTAAGTCCTTACCTTTGGGGTCACCCGGAGAGTATGTGTTGGACAAAATACCAAAGTTTTAATAGGATAAAAATACATATGACCTTGTGTAGAACATTCAGGTAATTGATGAATGAATAAATGGATGAATGAACTTGGTCACACACAGATCACTATTTTCTTACACAGCAGCAGGTTTATCTTTCCTGTAGTGAAAACAGACGAAGCTTTCAATGTGTGGTTATGACGGTGGTAACAGGGGTTACCCTTTGTACACAAACACACACCCCTCTAGTTCTTTCTACATCTAGTAATGCCTTTGCTATCATTTAAAAAAAGAGAGCATTTGCATTTTGAGGAGGCGTGTACCATTGCACCAGTGAGGCTGGGTGTGTTAAATAAGGATGGCAAGAGTTACACAGGCTGTTACCATTGAGTAAAAATAAAGCATCCAGGTTTTAAGCACTTGTACTAAATTTACAGTAAGCACCTATGCTTTGAGAGTGAATGGGTAATTGCACTTTCCTATGAAATGGGGGGAAATATTATTTTGCTTTAGGAAGTTTGTGTATGATGCATATTTTGTCATTTAGTTCTCTTCAGAGTAGAATAAAGGGGTGCTGATGGGATGAAAAGGCTTTTTAGAACTAGTTTTGGAGAGCTAGTATATTCGCCCATCTAATTTGTTTACACAAAGGGAATCACAGAACAAACCGGACTAATTGAAATGCCTTAATTAGGCACCTGCCGTTTCCCTCCAAGTAAAGCCCGTCTCTGCACTGCCCCTCCCTGCCACGCCCTCCCTCAGGTTCAGACAGTTTCTGGTACTCCTCCCAGAGCTGAAGGTCTTTGATATATTTATCTAAGAGCACCTCCTTCCGTGCCAGCAGAAGGTGAAGTATGGAGCATCCCGCTGTGCACCGCCCCCCACCCACATCCATCCCTCTTTTCTTAGGGTATCCTGGAGCCAAACAGCTCCGAGATATTTCTATTTCAGAGTGAAGACTTTTCCCATTTGCCTTAAAATGTACTGTGAGAGCGACTGAGCTATTCTCTCCGGCAACCACATGACTGCCTCTTGGGGATATGGTAAGGTAGGGAAGGGAGGGAGGCATTTAATCCCTTTGAAATGGGCAAATAAGATGTCATACCCACAAACCTCAAGGGAGAAGAGTTCAGGACTACTCAGCATGGGGCTGTTACAGTGAGGTATATACACAAGGGCACCTTGCTTCGTGAAACAGACGAGCTCTTGCAAAACATTTTTATTAGAATAATTGTAATTGCGCTCACGGAGAGTCCATTCCATTCCCAGTACACTGCTACTCACTTGGCCTCTTCACGCAGACTTCTCTTAGGACAGGATAGTAAGTAGCCGGGGCCCACTGGGTCTTCTTGGAACCTAGAAGATATCTCCCACCTCACATGTTCAAAAAGCCCTGTTCTGGCTCATTCTACCCTACATCCGTTTTCGTCATCATCTTCGCCATGGTAATTCCATGAATTGCCCAAGCCCCAGAGCTTAAACGTTATCCTCAACTCCTGCTTCTTCCATGTCATATGCCATCTTCAGGATGCACAGGGGCTCCATCCCGGTCTACCACCTCCCTGGTCCTCACCTAGTCCTCCTCTGCTCGGGATTGTGCCAGTATCCCATTTAGTTGCCCCGCTTCTGCTTTTGGCTCCCATCAACTTTTCTCAACTTAGTGAATGCATTCCTAAGTTAGCTCTGCTATTCCATCTTTTTCTCTCTAAAAGCTTACGTCCTTTCTCTGGCACATGACCTACCCTCTGCCTCCTCCTTGGCTTCCACTGCTCCTTAAGCTTACCTGCATGTGCAGGCGTGCAGTCCTGGATGTCCTCCTTGTGGTCTTTTGTATAGGCTTGGGGTGGAGGGAAGGTTGGGGCAGCTCTTTGCCTAGATGTCTGTATGATTTGCTCCTCACACCCTGCAGACATTTGCACTTTCTCAGCAAAGCCCTCCATACACCTGATTTACTTTACCTCTAGGCCGGAAGTACTCCTCTTCCTCTTGTAGGCCTTATTCCCTTCACAGTCCAACAAGCTATATATTATCCCTGTTTATTTTCTGTCGCCCT